GAATTTATAGCAGTAAAAAACAAAAAGCATCCCACAAGCTCTCCACAAGCTTTGGAGTAAAATAGAAATGTGTATATGTTTATACCTATTATTAATGCAATCAATTATACTTTATACAAAAAAGAAAAACAGTTTTTGTTTATTTACAAACTTAAAAAATGACCCTTGGCTCAATCAGATACTACAAAACCCAAAAGATGAGTCTTAGACTAATGTCAGCTCTCAGACACCACTGGCTGTTTGGAGCTAAAACTAGAGCAAGGATCAGCAACTTCACCTGTTCACTGGAACATAAAGCACATGATGCAACTTTATAAATACTGTGGGTTTTTTTTTTAATTATTATTACTTTATGCATAGTAATAATAGCTAGGCAGATGCAGCCTTGTAGAATACACAGAGCACAGCCAGTTTGGGACCATAATCTCTTTCCTAGGATTTCAAAAGCTGGATTGAAACAAGGACTCAAATCTTGGAACTGCTCAAGCAGTTCTGCTTGGTATTCTAAACATGCACCACTTAAATAATTCAAATTGGGCTGCGCAATGCAGTGCCTCCTCCTAAGCTGGGAAGTCAGCTGAGTGTTGTGCTCACTAGATTAGATAATTTGAGCATGGGAAGGGCATCGTGCAGTGCTGTGAAAATTATTTTTTCCCCAGGACACACTGGAAAGCTATTACAAACTCAGCTGTAACCCCTGCAGGTACAGCATACACAAGTCTCTATTTGCTTACTTTATAAAGGAAGCAAGTGTTACACTGTTGCTGGACCTAGGGTGCTAAGGGAGCCCAACATCTGGGTTCTGACCTGGCAAGGTATTTAACATTCAGTGACCTTTAAGAACAAATTAAAATCCTCTAATTTCAATAAGACTCAGCAATTCACTCTGAGTGAGGTCTATGTTTATGTACCTTAACAAAAAAAAAGAACTGGGCCTCAACACATACTCGAATTCAAATATTTTGCCTAACTAGTAACCTATCTAGCATGGAAACTGTGTAGCATTTTATATTTTCTTGATTAGAAAAGTCATTTTTGTAGTTGAAACCGATCTTGCACAACTTAGTTTTGATTCACACCTGTACTGTTACCTTGGTAGAATATTCAAAAGGGGAAAGCTTATGTCAGGATAAAAGAATGATTTATTCACTGAAGCTTATTTTCTTTAGGGAAAAGACTTAGAATTAACTGAAAAAAATCATCCAGCACCTCAGCAGGAGTTCCTACTTGCTGTCACCACCCAGGAATAACTGGCAGAAGCTGGAACAGCCAATAGGTTCCATTCCCACTGAAATCAATGGCAAACTTCTCATCGGCTCCAGCAGCAGAGATTTAAGATAGGAATTGGCAAGAATATTTCAGCATAATTACATTTTCTTTGACATTACTGATAGGGTGCTCTGGTAAATAGCGCCAAATATGCAGTGATTAATGGGAAGTGTGCCCAAACACCTTCTTTACAAACACTTTTTCACTGGAGTGCCAAAAAAAAAAAAAAAGCTTTCAGCAGTTATTGTTGCTGCAGCTTCCTACACACTCTTCAATTTAGCAAAACGCACTTGACAGAGGTTCAAAGGTTCTCATGTAGTGCCCGTGCTACTTGTAACAGCTAGAACAGGCCTGTAGGAAAAAGATGTTCTCCTTTCAGATCCCGCACTGTAAACTGATGACCTATTTCGAAGGGTTTTCATTCTTGGAAAACACTAGACTGACATTTGAGAGCAATGATCACAGAACGGAAAGGGAGCAGATGCAGCACATGGCTCAAAGGCAGAGACGTGTGAACAGACACAGCATTTCCCAACCAGAAACAGAGATAAGTGCAGTTACCTTCAACTTTTAACGCTGCCTTTGCGTGTCCTATGGCTTCCCATGGAGACGGGATATCTAGGAACACGGCGTCGGCTACGTTGGAGACTCCAAAGCCGTTTTTGCAGACGTCCTGGTTGGTGACGGTGACGAGGTGCTCCACGCCGTGCTCGCGGAACTCCTCCCGGGCCTTCTCAGCTCTCTGTTGGTGGAACTCCACCGTGTAGAGGTGCCCCGTGGGGGCCACCGTCCTGATGAGGGCATGGGACAGGGAGCCGCTGCCCGTACCTGGGGAGGAAACACAGCTGGTGGAGCAGCTTCACGAGCACATCGGTCTGCTCCACAGGCCCTCCGGCTTGGAACCCATGGGCAAAACCAGCACGAACCGAGACCACTGGTTAAACTGAGGGAGAAAGGTCTTCCGTCCCTCCCAAGGAGGGATGGACTAAATGACCTAGTAAATTGTCTTCTGGATCCCAAAGCCCTAACTAAAATTCTAGCAAACTTTGGACCTCTCATACTGCCTTGGAGCAGAAGATAGTGACAAATGTAAGCCATAGCTTTGAAAAGGGCTCTCTTTTTAAAGAGAGTATGAGAAACCCAGCACAAAAAGAAAAAAAAATCAGGAAAAATAGCCTGAAACTTAATCCCAATGTTCCAGACTCTTCTAGGGTAAAGAGAGATGATGACAAATTATGGTGTATTTTGAAAACTTGTACTTCATTAAAAGAAGGAAGAGGGATTGGCAGGTGTCCTGTTTGAAAAGTCTACTGGCCCCCATTCAAAAAAAAATGGTTTCCCCAACACGGAATCTCTTTTGCCCAGGCCTCTTAAAATCTGCAGCTTCCACTGAGACCACTCAAAACTGAGCCCTTTGGGCTCCTCTGCACTCACACTGACCCACATGACCTGATTCAGCAGGTCACTTAAATATATCCCTACCCAATCTTATGCAAGTCTCATGAGACCCATCACCTACCTGAAGCCGCAAATAAGTAGTTATCATCTACAATCAAGGTCTAACTATTAAGACACATGATGTTTTTGTTTTAGCTTGGTAATTTTGAAACTTTTTTTTAATGATCCATTAGAGTATTAAATAGATGAATGACTAACAACCAACATTTTCACTGAAGGAAACACCCATATGTAAGTTCACATTACAAATTCCTCACTGAAATGGTATTTAACAGAATAAATCACCAAACTCAAAATGCCACAGCAACCTCAAATTGTCTGTATTTGTTGATTTGTAATTCTGTAGTCAGAACAGATTCTTTCTATGGAAAGAAAGTCTGTATCTGGCTATATATCTAGATAAAGATGTATCTATACAGCTAGTCATATAGCTATATCTGTATCTCCAATGACTCAGGCTAAATTTCAGCCTGAAGCAAGTTCTTTCAACTAAAGTAGAAATCTTACAAAACTTATAAAGGACAACCTGAACTACAGCAGTGGTAGAGAGAGCTCACAAACTAAAAATTAGGGGAGACAGGTTGGGATAACTGCTTACCCACAGTAATACTTTCCATTAACTGTACACGTTTATAGAGTTTACTGACAAAGCCAAGGTTCCTGCCCTTTAGTCACAAGGGGAGAAACACTTTGTGAGACTGCATTTAATCAGACAACTCTGGAAGGGAAGATGTTCAGGCTGTAAATTGCTCATGTTCGAACAAGTGCCCTGCAGGGCCAGCACTGCATCCCTGCTTGGGTCTGAGAGGGCTCCGACCAAACGGGCAGACAGAGCTTCACTGAAAGCACCAATGGACCCTACACCTTCACCCAGCTTTGAAGGTGCAGATTAGACAGAGAAGGAGGGCTCGCAGATTGTAGCAGTTGCCCCAGTGAGGTCCCAGGGAAGGGAGAAACTCTGGCACAAACATTGATTTAAGGTAAATACCCATGTATCCTTGTCATGATTGAGACAGAGCAAACAAAAGCCACTAGACAGTGCATATGCACACATGAAAAGCTACTTGGTCATGGCACCTGCAAGCTTCAAATGTCCATGTAAATTTTTCCTTGCTCAATACACATGCAAGCATCACAGTAGCCACATGGTTGTTAAAAACTCAATGATATATACGGAGAGAAAAGAAACAGCATTTCATCTTTTTTTTTTTTTTTTTTAAATAACAAAAGCAGGGTACTATTGCTCACAAAAAGCTAAAATGACCAAAATGCTGTCTTTGTGTCTCATGGCAGACGGCAGGGTTGCAGAGCTGGGAGCTTTTGCAAACATACTGAATTTCATGATTTTCCTTCCAAATGGGCAATGCTGCACATTTTCCTCATCTTTCCCTGCTAATCTGCAGGGCTGAACAGAAGGGCTGTCAGCACAGCTGGGGTATAAGCAGAAAAGAGAGGCAGCTTGTGCATGTATCTGGTTTCCTTGTTCATATTCTTCTACATTTTTAATCACTTTCTTTTGAAATCTGCTCTTAAAAACACGATGGGAAATATTGTTTGTCTCCTTCCTAAGAAACTCGTTCACAAACAGTCCTAGCCAAACCCAGAAGCAAAAACAGGATGTTGGAAGTCAGCACTTGCAGGCGTATATTACACACGAAGCTTACGTTAAACGAGGTTACCAGGAGATATTTCTTGTTGACTAGCTCCTGTGAACACGAGAATATGTATGTATCCCGTCTTACTGTATCGAGTCCTATCACACTAACGTCACTAATGAGAGCATTTCTGAAGACGCTGTCTGCCTTCTCCCTGACAACACCCTCAAAAAGACAGGGAGAAAAGAACAAGATTGTTGTGAATCAGCCACCGTTTTACAGATTCTTCTCTTCCTGAAGCGATCAGATTCTGAATCCAGTCCTGCGAGGTGATGAGGATGTTCATCTATCTCTTAAGTGCCTGACAGCTTAGTGCGGTTGAGGTTCTCATCAAGAATAACCTCTCTGAGGGTCTGGCAGTTCAGTCACAAACACTAAAACCCAATCAACACTACCTGTACAAGTCAGGGTTTCAACTGCCCTGGCTTCTCCAGCAGAAAGGGAAATCAATGTCTATTAACAAACAACATTTTCACCTCCTCCCATGCAAATCTGCAAAATTCGACATCTGAATTTTCCCATTACCTCCTTAATTCTTTGATTTCTGTCTGCCTTTACTTCCAAATCATGATTGGGGAAAAAAAAAAAAAGGCAAAATTCAGCAAATGTGACCCATAGAGTCTTAGGGAACAGTTTGAAATAAGTTCTGTTCAGGTTCAAATTTCCTTGGGAAACGATAGGTATCTTTAGTATGATATAAAATTAGTCAGGGAAGCAGCAAAATCCAAGCAGCACTGCTGAAGACATGGACCAGAACATTAGCAAAACTGAAGTAATGTAGCTGATTTACATGCAAGAAAAAAACAAAACTTGAATGCCCCAAATATTTTGTATCAAAAGAGGCCAGTTTAGAACTGAACACCCTTCAAGGGATTTACATTCCCATATAGTGCAGTGAAATGCCCATGTTTCTAATTCAGTCTAGAAAGCAGAACGTAAGATAACTTCTGGAATAATTACGGTTTGTAATTTTTACACCAGGATGTTTGCAGTTCTTGCAGCTTGCATGAAACGCAGCCTTAGAAGCTGTTTGCTCTCTAGCAGAGCACAATGCCCATTTAACTAGAGTGTGTGAATCATGAATGGAACCTAGGAGAGCGCTGAAACTAGGCTGCTTCAGGCTGTACTAAAGGCAATCTCACCACCATGGCCACTGCTCACAGGATCTGTGAATCCTACCCTGACAATCACAAACCACACCTGTGAAAACGTCTTAAAATATGCTGACTATTCTATGAGTTTGATATCTTGGTCAAAAAGCAGACGACTGCACTGCAGGCAATCAGTGCTGACCACAGCATCCCCCCTGCACTATGCTCAAAGCTCACGACCTGGTGCAGAGGTATCGTGCAGGGGATCAGTAGGCCACGGAAAGCGGCCCGTCTCAATCCAAAAACATTCACCCACTGACATCTCCTCCGGATTTGTGGACCAGGAAGTCAGATCTGATAAATGCTCAGATCATTCCTCTGACCTCAAACACACTTGCTCTTCTACTCCCTCCTTACTCAAGTGACAGATGTTGCACAGAGAAGCCTCCAAGCACCTCGGAGACAATGTCTGCATTTTAAGGTTGTTCCTCACCCTTTCAAACGGCAGTAGGCAACATCTGACCCCCTCAAAATTACACAGGATATTACAACACTATATAGATACACACCAGAACACTATCAAGAGAAACACAAGCATTACCACAGCGTCAAACACGGCACTTGACTGACACACAACTGAATGAGAGTATTTTTACACTATGTTTTCTGTTTAGTCTGGTTTTCTTATTGCAAAGGATATCCGGGTTGCCTTCTGGACTCCCACCTGTGCTATACACACAGGAGACCTGATTTTTCATTCAACTACTTTTTTTTTTTTTTCACTGCAGTTGGTTGCTCAGCTTGCTGCTCCAAAATCCATAGTCACGGCTGCTTCTTTTTGAAAAGGGAAGTCAAGCTGTGATTCAAGACGCACAGACGTTTACAATTGTGCATGCGCAAAAGCATTTGCCAGGTAGCACAATATGGAAGGTTTGCAATCTGGAATAAAGCTAACAAAGATCTTAAATCCATATGAAGATTCATATCGTTGGGAAGCAGGAAAAGTGAAAAATATGCAGAATATCATTAAATACTGGGTCAATATAATGTCTAACAACATTTCATTATAACCAAAGTATCTACTGCAAAATTTCACTACTTAAGATATTCTGAAATCAGTAAATACAACAAAACAATGAGAATGCTGCTGTATTTGTTTCCCACCTACAAAGCTTAAACCTAGCAAATATTAAGACAGGTCATTAGTCAGTCATAAGAGGGGATGGAGCCTCAAAACCAGAAGAAAATTAGGCTTATACAGGGTTAACGATCCTGCGGCTAATGTCTGTCAAGAAACACAGTGCAGAGGAAGGCTGCTCACCATATATGACAAGTTACATAACAAGAGAATCATTAATCACTGTTAGCGAATACATGAAGAGATCCACAGCATCTGACAGAAAGTAACCCAACAATTCCACTGTGAAGACAGTTGCAGGCACAAATCATGGGGGAAGAGGTGAAAGGAAGCATGAGAAGGAACAGAGGGAAGGAGGGAGGGAAAGA